AGGAACTGCTGGACAGCTATAAATTTCCTTGTTTATAGCGTTCACACGTGTGGCCAATTGTGTGAACTTCTGGTGTGTTCTGCGAAAGAACAAAGAATGCTCTTCCTCTCTGGTGATCTAGTTATTGCGTGTGTTTTGTAATTCGCTTGATACATCTGCTTTATCTCTTTCTAAGTAACCATCCACTTCAGAATTTAGTGGCCTACAACAACAACAGTGCATTATTTCCTCACGATTCCGCAACCTTGACTGGGCTTAGCTGGGCAGATCTTCTGTTCCTCAGGGAGTATGCCTGGATTGCAATATTAAAGGTGGCTGGTTCACTCCCATCCCTGGCTTCTCGGTTGCAGCAGATGGACCATATGGTCTTCCTTGGCTAGCGTGGTGGTCACAGCATGGTGGTCTCAGGATGATCGAACTAGACTTTTTACATTGGCAGGATTCCAGCTTCAAGCTTCCCTTCACGATTTGAACTGACAGTGTCTCTTCTGCCACATTGCACTGGTCAGAGCAAGTCAAGGCCAGTCTAGATTGAAGGGGAGGGCAAACAGCCTCCCCGTCTTGGGCGAGAGGAACAGCATATGCCGGTACAGTGAGGAAGGAAGTGATGGTGGCCACGTTTGCAGATTATCTACCATAGTCTCCCTGGTGATGCAGCTCTCGATTTATTGGTCTTCTCTTTTTAATCTTAATGGCATTATATGGCATAGAAACACAGGGCAGGCAGGACCTAGTCCCATGGCCCTGAACATCAGATCATTTATCAGCAATTCTGGAAAGGCTCTGCTGTCTGCCCCAAACTGTAAGATTGGACGTATTACTCAAAGTCTTCGCCGACTGCCCTTGGAAGTGCAATGATGACTTACACTAGGGAGCGCTCGCTATGGGCCAGACCCTGTGCCTATGCCTTTTCCATGTGTCGTGTTGTTAAATCGTCATCATCTTCCCAGACCAATGCATATAATATCAGCAGCAGTTTCTGGGTTGGTTTAGGTGATTAAAGTACAGCATGGCAAAGCTGGTACCAAAGATTCAGAAATGCTGCCCACTCTCAAGGTTACCGACCTGTATTCCCTTGGGAAACTTATTATGTATTTTCTTTTCCTTCTGCCCCCCTCCTTCTAGAATTTCGTCTGTCAATTTTGTATTTCAGTAATTATGTATTTGTCCCAATCTGGTCCCTTTCTACCATCTTCCCAGGCTCACTATCTTCTTGCAATTGATGCAAATGAGGAAGAATCCTGGAGGAAGGCCAGGGGACAGAGGTCATCTAAGTGGAGTTGAGTCTGTTCTCTGAGTGGGAGAAAGTTATCTGCAACCACACACACACAGACCACACCTGCCACACACAAAGCTGATGCCCTCCCATCCCCCTCAGGACAAAGAAATCAGGCCAAGGGAGAGCATCATGTAATACCTGGGTCTGTACCGTGCCCATACTGTGCATTCAGTAAACACGTGCTTAGGATAATGACCGTCATAATATTACTTGATGCAGGAATAGCAGTAAACCCAGAGCCAGTGCATCCCTGAAAAATCCTACGGAGGTAGCATATGGGATTTTTAATATTACTCTTGTGTATTTTTCAGCTTTGTTGATATATAATTTACATACCATAGAGCTCACCCATTTAAAGTGTACAAGTCTGGTTTTTAGCATATTTATAGAGTTGTGAGCCAATCACCATAAATCTAATTTTGGAACATTTTTATCACCCCCGAAAGAAACTGTTCCCAGCAGTCATGCCCCATGTCATTCCTCCTCCCTCAGCCTTAGACCACTGATGTCTTTCTCCATAGATATTTGCCTATTCTAGGTATTTCATATAAATGGACTTACACAGTGTGGCTGATGGTGACTTGCTTCTTTCACTTAGTTTCACTTACTTACTTCATTTATTTCATATAAATGGGTGGTCGAACTTTTAAGTTGCCATTTCTTTGATATATTTTTTCCAGGATCCCAAGCACTTCAAGTCAGAGAAGACAGGACGGGGACAGTTAAGGGAAGGCTGGAGAGATAGTCATCAGCCCATCATGTGTTCCTACAAGCTGGTGACCGTGAAGTTCGAGGTCTGGGGGCTTCAGACCAGAGTGGAACAATTTGTACACAAGGTTAGTGAACAGACAGCAGTTCCTGAGCTGCGGACCAAACAACTTTCTTTATTGTCAGCTGGAGTACATGGTGTACGACAGATCAGTGCTGAACCCACATGAGATAACTACCTCTAGAAAACCCTGTTTTCATGAAAATGCATTTTACATACAGGTTTAATTTTCTTGCACTAATAGATGCTTTACACGTCATCTCTTATTCTGTGACCTCCATGTCTATTGAGTGAGTATATTCAAGAAGTTAGCCTTTCAAAACATACTCTCCCATTTGGCATCTAGTTCCAAGCGTGGGTACTTATACTTGGTACTTGGGTACTTGCATTCCAGGCAGAGGCACTGTGTGTACAGCCCCTAAGGATAATTCTCACTCAAAAGATCCTTCCAATGTAGACCCCTAGGTAGAGGTAGAGGACGCATGAAGAGACAGAACAAGAAATTCCAGTATTCCCATTAGATAATGGTGCACTTCAGCCTTTCTGCTCTTAAAATCATTCTGTTACCAAAGAATTATTTACCGCCTCAGAACAAAGGTTTCAATTGTGTACCCACTTTGACCAAACATGTTAATTTTGTAGCATGAATTCACTGGGTAATGACTTAAGGATTTCTAACATGATTCCTGTCCTCATGGAAAAAAATGGGAAACTCAGTGTCAAGCGTTGCCCTTTGTAACTCCTCCTATTTCCATAAAAATAAATACTACCCAGTTGTCTCTGCATTCCAGATAGGCTGGATATCTGTTTATTTTTCCGCTGAAAAACTGATAAAAAATAGCTTTCTGAAATTCTTTTGGGAGCACTGGAATTTAACCTTAATGCTCCGAGCTTTTTGTTACTTAGATGGATTTGTCTACGGGGAGCAATTGATAACAAAATCGGGGGGCAATTGATAATAAAATGTGCAAATCTTGAATTTAAGCCCAAGGAATAGACTGAACTTGGGCTCATGATGATAGTAGGCTCTGGAACAGATGTGAGACAGAAGCGGGCCAGTCTTCTGCTGAATTCTTAAACTCCTTCTGCCCAACCAGAGCAGGGCGCCAAGCGAGACACATAGAAATCAAGTTCTGGGACCGGCTGTGTCCCAGTTATTAAGCAGGAAGACAGGACCCCTCGGGTAAATATTTTCCAGCTTCAGCTCTGTGTCTACCTTAAGCTATACCTTTCTTGACTTCCTACAGTATCTTCCCTCCACTTTTTTTTTTTAACCCAAAATGATCTCTTACTAAGGCCGCAACCATAGTGCACTTTATCATCTCTCCCTCTCACAAAGCACATTTAGATTGTCGCAGGGCTCACTGTGTTTCTTTTCTCTAAGATGACTTCGGCTAGTTTTGAGAATCTTTTTCTTTAAAATACCTGTAGGGATTAGGCTCTAGTGATAGGCATTCCCATTGCCCGTTTCCACATATGACGAAGTGTTATCAACACCCCCAAAAAACACCTGCTCTGGCACGCGAGTCGCTAATGAGTATCTGAGGCCTGGGTTTAAAGTGCCAGAGATGCCTTTCTCTGAACACCTTTGTTTTTTAAGAATCACAGTTAAGGGGGGAAAATGTTCGAAAGCGAGCCATTAATTAGCACATTATTGAATTCTTGTTTCCAGAAGACAGCTGTGTTGTGCTTAATGTAATGGAGGATATTTACTGATGCCTCGATGCTGTTCTTTTGATTTCCACGAATTTGACACACTCAGCACTCAAGTATGGATGGCTTCATGTTGTCTCTAATTTTCATTACATATTTCCTCCTTAAGCCTCACTAGATATCCAGAGTCTTGGAATAATAAACACTTCATTATAAATGCTTCCCTTGTTTCTGCAAATTCACCAGATTAAGATCCTTCATTTATAGAAACATGCTTGAACCTTCCACGAGAGGTTTTTGACAATTGCTGGATTTATTTGGCAGGAAGACGAGAATGTTGGAGGGAGTGTGTGAGTATCCAAGAAACGTAAAAAAAAGGCATATTTATGGAGGACAAAAAAAGAATACCATGAAATAAAAGCATGTGAACAGTGTTACACACACAAAAACTATGTATATGATTTTTCTTAGTCTACGATTGCCATTATGTGTCACCATCAGAAACAATTTCATTCATTTTTGCCTCCAGTCATCAGTCTTATCATTCCCATTAAGTTCTGTTCTAATTTGGGTCTCTTATGTCATCTCTTTCAATAATACTTAACTAAACTTGCTTTATTTTCTTCCTTTTATTATATGAAAGTCAAGCCTAGAAAGATACTTACTTGCCTTATGTCTCGCACCTTCAATTATGAAAAATATTTAACCAATAGTTGGGAGGTTTCATCAGAGAAGAAAGAATGTTAAGTGCTCTTTGCTTAAAAGTGACTTGCTGACTAGAAAAGTTCTTGATTTCTATCATTTATCATTATTCTCCCCGGCACTGGTTAAACCCACCTTTCTACAAATGAAATGTAGGACCTGTTTTAGGTAAAGATAAATGGAGAGAAAATTCTCAAAGTGATTAGCCTAGAGATTCATTCCAGTCATTTCTGTGTGACTGCCAAGTCGTCATCATTGGCTTCTACACACCTCCAGCCTGAGTTTCAGATGAGATGGAGATTAATTTGCAGCAAGCATTTACACGCCGTGGAAAGGGCTGAGGGTGAGCAAGTACAATACCAGTTTGTGTCAGCCTATAATTGTTATCACATGTGGACAGAGGGGTACAGAAATTTGTAATCGTCAAGATTCTTAGAATTGGGAAAGGTCTATTTTCCACATAGTTTTAATAAACATGATATTATTCAACCCCCTTCTTTCACTTTTTTAGGTGGTCCGAGATATTCTGCTGATTGGGCACAGACAGGCTTTCGCATGGGTTGATGAGTGGTATGGTAAGTCAACTTCCCCGAAATGACTTGTAGAACAACTTCCTAACATGTTGAGTCCATCTGGCTTCAAATGCCACCTAGAAAGACTACAACAAAGGCGGGGCTACTGCTTCCTGTGTTGGAAATGGCACTGTTCACGGAACATAAAGGAGAAAAATGTAATGATAGAAGCTTGGTCTAACATAACTACAATGCTTAGTTATTGACTAAGTAGGACCTCAGTATGTTTGATGCTTGCATACTTGATACACAGGAATCCATAATTCTCTGTTGGATGGGTTTCAAACTTATCCTAATTTATAGCAGATTTCAAGATCAAAGCTGCCTGAAGCATATCAAGTGAAAGCTATCCTTTGATTCAGAGATCACTTAAAACACTCCTTTACCAAAAACATAAGGATTCTGCAAGAATTCAAGGGCAGAGGCATGGATACCCCCTTAATCCTGAGACTATTGTTCTGGCGTTTTTAGTTTTTTTTATTTTACATGATTTGGAAGAGTTAAACAAGTTCTTCACATTTCCAGTAAATAAAAACAAGGTCGCTTCATCCACCCTTCCCAAATCCATGTTTTATCCACGTGAATCCTCTACATTCCCAGGATCAGTCATCAGAGGCTAGTGCCCTTCACTATAAATAGAAACAAATACACCCAGGCGGTGACTTGGGTTAGATCTGCTTATCCAGTGAAATGCTCTTCTCCTTGGCCTTTTCCGAAGTCACACTGAATTTGTTTTCAGTGTAACCGGGATTGTATTTTAGTGCTTTTCTGTCATTGTTCCACCAATTCCCTTGTTGTTCTGAGCAGAAAGTATCAAATTCAAAGTGAAAAGATACATTGGACCGAATGGGCAAAGACAGTGATGGTTATTAATGTTGGCTATTTCTGAGCCACATTAAAGAAAAAAATGGTTCTGTAGGGCTTTTTTTTTTTTTTCTTTTTTTTTTTTTTTGCAATTTTCCCAGATCCGCATGGTTGAAGAGCAAATGCGTCTCCCTGAGTTTGTCCAAAGGCAGACTCTGGAAGATCGTCACTGTTATCACACACTCTCAGGATGCCACTCACGTGGCAAGTGCGCCGGCTCTCACCACGAGGCTGTGATGCCGCCTAACACTCGTCTATTTGTAGTTGTCTTTTATGAGGCAGGCGGAGGGAAAGTCTCCAGTGATTACTTCTCCTGATCATTAAACCAGTCTTCCTGGTTGTTTTTTTTTTCTGGGGAGCTTTTCTCCCCAAAAATGGTTAAGAGCTACTAGTCTGTCCCAACTTGGACTCCTCCAAGCTCATGGTTTCCTTACCACCGACACGAAGGGAATATCACAAGGATATTCAAAGAATAATAGGCTCAAACTAATGAGAAGTTTGGCAAGCGAACAGGGACCTGAAAGGCCAAAATTCTGCCACTTTGAAGACCAAGAAGACACAGGGCACTTTAGTAGATTCCTCTCTCGTGCCAGAAGGCCAGAGAGGGCTTTTTAGAATGTGTAGCATCAAACAGAGTAGCCAGGGCCTCATGAAGGGGACAAAACACTGCAAGCCTATTAATCAGGAATAAAGGGTTTGAGTAGAGACAGGATACAAAAAGAGAAAAAAATCGAGGGGAGGCACCTCGTAAGTGAACTGCAGAGGTACAGAGGATGAAGGCCCACTCTTTATCTCATCCAAGCCTGGGATAAGGAAAGACTTAAAGACTTTCAGTCCAAAAAAAATAAAAAGGTCAGACTATTACAGAGGCCCTAAGCTAGAATAACGCATCAAAGGAAACTGTCGGTCTCCAGTGCTGGGGTCCTTTTAGAGGAGAACAGCTACCTATTTACTTTAGATGGGTTAGGTGAAGACAGAAATAACTCAAGGAATCTATTGACAAAAAAAGCCTTTTCTGTATCTGAGTGCAGAAAAACAGCATGTGGTTTAGTGGATGTAGATCATCAGGGCGCCTTGTACTCCCCGGAGAAGGTCTCCACTCCCACTATATACACAATCCTAGCCCCAACCAAAACAAGCAGCCTTTTCACTCAGCAAGGGGTCTGAGAACCACCACATCCATTTCATGTAAATTACTGCTGGCATCCTCGCCCAGCTGAGCTGCTTGCCAGGAAAACAGTGGCTCCTTCATTACACAGATGCAGACACTCAAATCAAATGAATGGAAATAGCCCTGCTCACGAGTGTCTTCTCAGCCCCTCATTCGAGATAATGTTGAGGACGGTGGGCCTTTCAGGTAGATGGATGTGTCACTGGTACCGAAGCCAGCCGTCTGCCAGGATAGCCCTTCAGTTTTGGGTTCCTGAAGTTGCTTGTTTTTTCTTTGGCCTACACAGGCTCAGTGAGGCTCTCATTAGTAAATACAGCAAAAGTCCAAAGTTAAAAAAACACACACACACACAAAACTCTTGCCCGTAGCTTATTGCCTGGTTCTCAGAGTGAATTTCCTGGGCCAGCAAGCAACATTAGCATCCTCTGGTTATTTGTTAGAAATTCAGATCTTCAGGCCCCACCCCAAAACTACCAAATCAGATACTCTGGGCCTGGGGTATAGGCCAGCAGTCCGTGTTTTTTAACAAGCCTTCCAGATGATTCTGATGCTCGCTGAAGTTTGAGAACATTTAGTGTAGAGCATGGACTATAAACCAGGTTAGATTGCAAGGAAGGAGAGTTTGATTCAGTACAAATAGGTTAGACTAAAGAACAGTAGATGTCTAGATGTCTTCAGGGCCAACTGCCAAACTCCAATACCTTTGGAGAATTAGAAGAAGGTGCCCCTTCTAGGCAGATTTAGCAGGTGCTTTTGGCTTGGGACTAAATTTTAGCCCCATTTGCCTCCTGGGCTGTGTGCATATAGTAGGGTACAAAATGCACACACTCCCTTATGCAATGGCAGCCCTAAATGTCTTTCTCACCACCTCCAGCGCTTAATTAAGAGTCCAGGGGGAAAAAAGACATTGTAGATGATGACGATCTTTTGCCCAAAGATTTTAAATTTGTATCTTTTCTAAGTTTCAGCATTTTGCTG